TGCGCTCTGGTCAACACAATGGCCTTTCCCAGCGCGGACGGTGATCCGCGCGAGCGTTTGCTCGATTCTTAAAGACCATCACATCAGGGTCTCAGGCTTCTTGTTAATATAAAAGCCTGAATGATTACCAATACTATTTTAGGGGGTTCCTTATTATGATTATACTATATTATACCCCAAAGCCCTATTCTAATTGTTAAGCCCACTACATGAGTTGGCTGTCCAAAAACTTCCCCAGTGCCTCCTGGAGTTTTCCCTTCCTGGGCCCATGGCGCTTTACGGACGTTTAACCAGTGGACTTTGGCCTTCCCTAAGGGTCCAAGTAGTCCTTTTTTATGGGTTTTAGCTACCCAAGAAAGGCCCCAAAGGCCTTAAATAATGGGTACTTGGACCCTTAGGGTTTGTACCCCTAAGAACCCTAAACCCTAAACCCTAAACAAGAACAAGATCCTTAAGGGGGTCCTTGAAGGGTTCCTCTAAGGGGTTCCTTTCAGTAAGGGCTACCTTTAAAAAAGGGGTAGTCTAGGGGCCTTAAGAATTAGAATAGGGTTTTGGGGTATACTATACTATACTTATGATCAGGAACCACCCCCCAAAATAATATAGGTGATTCTTAAGGCCCCTATAATATTAATCCCTAAATCCCTAAACCCCAAACCCTAAACCCTAAACCCTAAACCCTAAACCCTAAATTCCTTTAATAGACGGGGTACCCTTGAGGGCTCCTCAGATCGATCCTTGGCCGCAGGGCAAGGCGAAAGAGGCCGCTGAGGCGCTGAACAGCGGCAAGCAGAAGACGGAAGGAAAGGAGGACCTGACTCTCAGGGGCTTCTGTGTTTAGGGTTTAGGGTTTAGGGTTGAGAGTTTAGTTTATGACCTGACTCTCAGGGGCTTCTGTGTTTAGGGTTTAGGGTTGAGAGTTTAGTTGATGACCTGACTTTCAGGGCCTTCTGTGTTTAGGGCTTAGGGTTTAGGGTTGAGAGTTTAGTTTATGACCTGACTTTCAGGGGCTTCTGTGTTTAGGGCTTAGAGTTTAGGGTTGAGAGTTTGGTTGAGGACATGACTTTCAGGGGCTTGTGTGTTTAGGGCTTAGGAAGAGTTTGGTTGATGACCTGACTTTCAGGGGCTTTTGTGTTTGGCTTTTCATTCAATTTTCAAGGGGCTTTTGTGTTTAGGGTTGAGAGTTTAGGACCTGAATTTTAATTTTCAGGGGCTTTGTGTTTAGGGTTTAGGGTTTAGGGTTTAGGGTTGAGAGTTTAGGACCTGAATTTCAATTGTCAGGGGCTTTCGTGTTTAGGGTTTAGGGTTTAGGGTTGAGAGTTTAGGACATGACATTCAGGGGCTTTTGTGTGTAGGCGTTAGCGTTGAGAGTTTAGGACCTTACTTTCAGGGGCTTTTGTGTTTTGGGTTTAGGGTTGAGGGTTTGGAGCCTGGCTTTTGGGGCTAGGGTTGAGCGTTTAGGAGCTTAAACTCTATACCCCTAAACCCCTAAACCCTAAACCCTAAACTCTAAACCCTAAACCCTAAACCCTAAACCCTAAACCCTAAACCCCTAACCCAGGGGTTCTACAAGGGTTTTGCAAGGAGGACCTGGCTCTGGGTTCTTTTGGCTTTTTGGATTCTATGAGGGTTCCAAAAAGGAAGTGTGCTATGTAAGGGCTCCATAGGCTTTCGATAGGGCTCTCTACAAGTTGCAGCAGGTGTTCTAGAAGGTTTCTGTATATGGGGTTCCGGGGGGTTGTGTTGAGTTCTACAGAGTTCTATGAGGGTTCTGTGAGAGTTCTACGACATTGAGGGCTGTGGAAGGCTTTGGGGTGCGGGGTTTATGTTGCTTATGATAGGGTGTTGGTTGCAGACCGGGTTCAAGAGGGGCTCTATAGGGTTCACCCATAAAGGGCGAAAGCTCAAGTTTAAGGTTAAAGGGGGGGTTCACGTGTAGAGATGGCTCCAGCTTTTTAACAATGATCCCTGTTGAAAAGCGCGACACTGTCTTAGGCCTGTTGAAGTTGGATTCAGGAGCGGATTTGAGTCAAGGGTCCAACTTTCTTCCAGCATCGACCCTACTAGATAATGGGAATCCTCATGCGAAGGCACTTTTCAGGGTGCGACTTCATGAATCAAGGGTACCTTGAAACTCCGTAAGCCGCGCAAATATCCTGTAAATGGTTGTGCAAAACCCCATAGAAGCCACTGGAGCACTGTAAGGATCCCATGAAGCCCCCTTATGAAGCCCCGAGGCCCTAAACCCTATACCCTAAACCCTAGATTATACCCGAAACCCTGAATCAAAGCCACTATCGTATCAACTTCTCTATGAACCCTAGATTCATACTTTTGATGGACAAAATTCTGCATGACCCAAGTATAGTCTAGTACCATAAATCCCATGGTTTAGGTATAGATTTTGTCCATCAGCCGTAGTATCAACAGATTCCCTAAACCCTAAACCCTAAACCCTAAACCCTAAACATCATAGTATCAACTTCCTTCTGTGAGAAGGAGGAGCTTCAGAAGGCGGTGGATCTTTTCTGGGAGGCGGGTCCGGGGGCTGAAGGGTTCAGGGTTTTAGGGTTTATGGTTTAGGGTCTTAGGGTTTAGGGTTTAATTAGGGTTTACAGTTTTAGGGTTTATGGTTTAGGGTCTTAGGGTTTTGGGGTTTAGGGTTTAGGGTTTTAGGGTTTATGGCTTAGGGTCTTAGGGTTTAGGGTTTAGGGTTTAGGGTTTAGGGTTGAATTAGGATTTTAGGGTTTAGGGTTTAGGGTTCAGGGTTTTAAGGGTTTAGGGTTTAGGGTTTGGGTTTCAGTATGGTTTCGGTAGTCCGGGCCTTGGGATTCAGAGAGGCAGGGTTGCGGGGTTCAGGGGCTCCTGTGGTAATGTAATATAGGGGCCTTCATAATTAGAGTAGGGTTTTGGGTGAACCCCCAAAACCCTATTCTCCTTATGTTGGCCCTTACATTAGGTGTAATTGTAAGTTTTGGGGCTATGGTGACGAAGTTGGACCATGTAGGGAGACCTGAGAACCCCACCATTGCTTTTCGATAAGCTTCATACCTAGGTTCCCCAGTAGTACCCTTTTGCCCTTTTTTGTTTTGGGGTCTCCTTGTTAAAACCGAATTTAGGAAAAAGGGCACCCTTATTAATATAAGGGGATACTGGAGAACCTTGATGCACGGTTTAGGTTTACGGTTTAGGGTTTAGGGTTTAGGGTTTCGAGTGTGCCTCCCGTAGCTTTCAGAGACTGTTTCCGGCGCTCCGCGCAGTTTTTAGTGTTAGGATTTGGCGCCACATTTTTGCTGCCAGGGTGTGGGTTTAAGGATACACGGCCTTTTGGGAGACGAGTCTTCCCGGCATGGCTGGTGCAGGGGTGTTTGCGTTTGAGGAAGCTGTCGGTCCCTTTCCAGGCTCTTATTGCTGGCTTTTGAAGGGGCTTGTCTGCTGCCAGGTCCACGTGAACCCGAATCCCTAAACTAAACCTAAACCCTAAACTCGAAACCCTAAGCCCTAAACCTAAACCCTAAGCTGAAAACCCTAAACCCTAAACCGTTAACCCTAAACCGTTAACCCTAAACCTAAACCCTAAACTCTAAACCCTCAGCCCCAATCCTTCTGCAAAGCCCATTCAACCTCCGCAACGTCTTCAACAAGCAGAGGACGGCTTTCATGTTTGCGATGGCTGCTATAGGGGGCACGAGCCTTTGCAGATGCAATCTTTGCCACTTCCTTCAGCAACCGCTGCAGGCTTTGACTCAGTTGCTTCGATACCACTTGAAACTATCGTAGTTGCATCCTCAGTCTAGCGCAGAAACACATCACTAACAGCACACGTCACGTATTGCACCCAGATTGCAGATGCAACAGCACCACAACTCTGTGCCTCAGACTCTACACCACGTCTGTAATGCCAAAGCGCCCAGCGGCTGCTGTGCCGTCAGAGCATCTGCTCCGCGGCAACGATCGCACCGGGCTATATTTGATTGAATTTGATAGACTGGTGCAGCTTCATCGCGGTCGTCGAACTCTTCGAGACACAGATCGCGGTAATTCTTTTGCATTGCTGGAACTGCTTTCCGCGCTGCTGAGTAAGCTCGGCGATGGCATAGACATCCGCAAGGCGTTTTTCGTATCTGCACAGAGTGGCGTGGACTCCGCAATCCAGGCCATTGCATACTCCTGCGAGAAGCCATACGTGAATCTCCAGAAACCGCAGAGCGAACCCTAAACCCTAAACCCTAAACCCTAAACCCATCTCCAGAAACCGCAGAGCGAGTCAAGCAGAAGCTTCAGGGAGAGGAGCTTCGCTACTCCAAACGCTTCACGACAGGTAGTATTATTAGGGTCTCCTTTCTGAACCCTACTTTTGGCTCTCTTAAAAGGGACCTAATTGAGAGGGTCTATATCCCCAAGGGTCCCCCTAATCCTAGCTCCCACACGAGCCTCCAGCCCTGAAGAACCCTAGAGTCCAGACCCCATACAGCCCCCCAATTCCGCGTGGCAACGAGTTTAGGGTTTAAGGTTTAGGGCTTAGGGTTCAAGGTTTAGGGTTTAAGGTTTCAGGTTTAGGGTTCAAGGTTTAGGGTTCAAGGTTTAGGGTTTAAGGTTTAGGGTTTAAGGTTTAGGGTTTTAGGGTTTGGGTTTTGGGGATTGGGGCTTGGAATACTAAAGACCTAGAATCTCGTGCAGATGCCTTATGACCCAGCACGCAGGCTCTACATGCAAAAGCATCCTGCCACCCGGAAGTCAAACCCAACTGTCCCATGATTATGCTGCGGAGCCTGTGGTTTAGGGTTTAGGGTTTAGGGCATAACCTCTCAAACCCTGAGCCCAAGACCCTAAGTCCAAAGCCGCAAAGACCTAAATCCCAGAAGCCCTAACCCCCTTAAACCCAAAGCCCTCAACCCTAAACCCTAAACCCTAAACCCTAAACCTTAAACCCTAAACCCTAAACCCTAAACCCTAAACCCTAAACCCCTAAACTCAAAGCCTTCACTCAAGCCAAACAGGCTGCGAAGCTGCGGCCCGACTTTGCACGAGGTGGGATCTAGTGGCAAGGGGAGAGGGAGGGTTCCTAAATGTATAGGAATCAGGGAATAATGTTTATAGGGTTTACGGTTTAGGGTTCTAGGGTTTAGGGTTTGGGGAGTGAGGTTTAGGGTTCAGGGTTCTAGGGTTTAGGGTTTTAGGGTTGAGGGTTTAGGGTTCAGGGGGTCAGGGGTTTAGGGCTAGGAGGGGCTTAGGAGGCCCCGCAATTCCTAAACTCCCAAACCCGAAATCCTGAAAACTTACGTAAACTTAAACCCCCAAACCACTATAGCCCGACCCGAAACTCTACAATACCACCCCTCCTTTAAGAGCCGCCCAAAACCCTTTTACACCATATAAACACCGTAGAAACCTGCTATAAGAGCCTCAGAAACCGAGCAAAACTCTCCAAAGCAAGCCCTCCTAGACCCGAAGCCCCTTAAACCCTAAACTAAACCTTAGATCCTAAGCCCTAAGCCCCTTAAGCCTTAAACCCTAAGCCCTAAGCCCCTTAAGCCTTAAACCCCAAGCTCCGTGGAGCCCCTGAAGCCCTAAACCCTAAACCCTCAACCTTAAGCCCTAAGCCCCTTAAGCCTTAAACCCTAAACCCCAGAGCCCCTGAAACCCTAAACACTAAGCCCTAAGCCCCTGAACCCTAAACCCTGAAGCCCTCAACCCCAAACCCCAAGCCCCTGAAGCCCTAAACCCTAAACCCAAAGCCCCTGAAGCCCTGAAGCCCTAAACCCTAAACCCCAAGCCCTAAACCCTAAACCCAAAGCCCCTGAAGCCCTGAAGCCCTGAAGCCCTGAACCCTAAACCCTAAGCCCCTCAGAAACGCGTAACTTCTGAGAGGCTACCTGGGCCTTGCGAGGGCGCTGCGCCTCCTGCGCTCTGGATTGCAGTCGGTTTCGTAGCTGAGGGAACCTTTGGTGGTTTCCGGGGTTCTCCATGTTAAGGGTTTGGGCTTTGGGGCTTTAGGGTTTAGGGTTTTAGGGTTTCAGGGTTTAGGGTTTTGGGGTTTAGGGTTTTAGGGTTTTAGGTTTTAGGGTTTAGGGTTTTAGGGCTTCAGGAGTTTAGGGCTTTGGCTTCAGGGGTTTAGGGGGGCGCTGGTCCTTTACAAGGGCTTCGGGCTCGTGCTTCAGCGGGCCTTTTCCAAGGCCTTCGAGACGATTGCTATAAGGGCTACCCAGAGAGCCCGATGCACCTTAAATTTGTAAAAGATAGCTTAAAGTATAAGGGGGTGAATATTATGTAGATAAAGGAATATAGCTTGAAGTATAGGGGGCTTCATATTATGATTTAAGCCATAATTCCTGATTAAAGGGGTATTGGGCTCTCAGCTTTAGAGGGTTCTATGATGTGAAATCCTTTCACCTCTTTAACACGCCTTCATATAATTAGAATAGGGCTTTGGGGGGCCCCTTAATATTATAGTTGTAGTAAGGAACCCCCAAAAGTAGTTTAGGTAATTATCTAGGCCCCTGTATTATAGAGAACTTGCGAAGCCAACAGCGCAAGGAAAATAGTGTTGGTAACTATTTAGGCCCCTACATTACTCAGCACGAAATCCTAACCCTAAAGTTGGGCCCTAAAGCCGTTAAGACCCCTAAAGGAAGCAGCCGGCAGACGCCAAGCATGCGGTACTCCATGGCCTTGAGCACTGCGCTGACGACGGGGCGCTCCTGTGCACTGCCGAATCTTCAGAAGCTTTGGGTTTAGGGTTTATTGTTTAGGGTTCGGGGTTGTGAGGTTCAGGGCTGGGGTTGAGGTTTAAGGGTTTAGGGTTTAGGGTTTAGGGAAATTCAGGACTTGTAAAGGTTTCATGTTGGGCTTGCTTTGGTTTTCTGGGCTTTAGAACAGCGTCATACCGGTGTCGTGAGCGGTTTTCTGAGGATTCGACATAGGAGTTTCAGGACTCGAAGAGGGTCTGCAGGGGCTCTACTAGAGAGGCCTGAATAACTACCAATACTATTCTGGCGGTTCCTTATTATGACTACAGCATGATATATGTCAAAACCATACTCTAATTATTAAGGCCCATACATTACACAGGGGGCAGTACAGGTGTTCGGTGTTCGGGGCTCTGAGTTTAGAGTTCCATCCAGAATTTGGAGATGATATGAGAGCGGAGTGCGAGCAATACTGAGGATTCACGGCCTTCGTCCTCAAACCCCCAGGCATCCTAAAGACGCGAAGGCCAAACCCTATGAACTCCGCAGCGCTCTTCTGAGCCCTCCCGCCATCCGAGGCAAGAGCTCCAGAAGATCGACAAGGAGCTCGAGAAGCAAACCATCGTCGAAGAGGAGCAGGCCGCTGGTTCGGGTTTAGGGCTTAGGGCTTAGGGTTTAGGATTTAGGGTTTGGGTGTCTAGGGCTTTGGGTTTAGGGTTTCGGGGTTTAGGGCTTTAGAGGGCTTAAGGGCTTACGGTTTAGGGTTTAGGGTTTAGGGTTTAGGGCTTTGATAATTTCCAGGCTTGTAGGGTATTCCGAGGGGCTCACCATCATTGTTGATGCTGCAGCTGGTGTTACTGTTGTTGCAAACGTTGCTGCTGCTTTGATTTACCGAACTTGAGTTTGTGACTCAGGATTCTGGGTGCCCTAAACCCTAAACCCTAAACCCTAAAGCCTTGTGGGTTGAGGGATTTGGGGAGTCGATGCATGTCTTGAAGTTTATAGGGTGTCGAATCAAGAGACACGGAATCCCAGCCCAACACTAGGGTTTAGGGCTTAGGGTCTAGAAGATTTGCACTCCTGGGTTTGGCGTTTAGGGCTCTTGGGGCTTTACAGGTTTGAGAATGGTGACGTCCCCACATCAGTAGCAAAGCCTAAATTATTGCCAACAGTATCCCTTAGGGTTCCCTATAGTAACTATACGTACTATAAAGGAGCCCCAAACCCTATTCTAATTTAGTAAGGCCCTACATTACCTAGCAACGGACGTACAGACATGCTGTCTCCTAGAACGACGGAGAAGGAGGCTTCTATTCTGAAAATTCTCACATACTCGTATTCACGTAGAAGCACCTTGGCATACACAACTTGATCGCATGCATGCAGATTTTCATGTGGCGCGGATGGTAAGATGCATCAGCTAGTATCGGCACATGTAATGATCTGTACCTGGGATGAAATTTCCCTAACTCCCAAGGTTATTTCCCCAGGAATGTGGAGTTCTCGGGGGTTGGGATCCTAGACCTGAAGCCCTAAGCCCCAAACCCTAAATCACACTGTGCATGGTTGGTTCCTTTGCACGGCGGCCCACAAACGGCCCCGGCTCTGGTCTGGAAAAGCGATCCAACTTCTCTACCATGTCTGCGGGCTAGGGGCTGGTTTGTCCAAGTGGGTAGTTCTCTAAATTAGGGTCCCGTTTAGGGTCCTTTCTATAAGGGTGCCCTGCCATTTTCGGGGGCTGCACGAAAGGGGACCCCCAATCCAGAGAACTACCTAAATATCCTAAACCACGTCAGTTTCCAGGTTTGCAGTTTCCCGCGCACTGCGGCACATGTTGCCAAGTCAGAGATCAGGGCCTTCCCTCGGTGCGGAAAATTGGGTTTGCAAGGTGGCACTAGGGTTTATAGGGTTTAGGGTTGCAGTAATGGGGAGGTGAAGCAGGTGGATCCCCGACGTGTTTTCTTGCGGCTCGCAAACTTGCATGGTCAGAGAATCAGTGCACCCTGCTTTAGTCAATCTTGAATCATAAGACACAGTAGGAATCCTAACTAAAACCAGGCAGTCTCACACCCATATCTGACAGAGAAGCTTTTCCTACAGCTTCTACAGCCTATGAATGCTTTCTTGTGGATAGAACCCCTAAACCCTAAACCCTGAACCCTAAACCGACAACTAGCCGAGGAAGGACAGACAAGACTTCCTGCAGTATGGTTACCACATGGGTCTTTATCTAAATTAGGGTCCCTGTTAGGGTCCGTTTTATAAGGGTGCCGTACTGCTTTAAGAACGAAAAAAGGGACCATAATTTAGAGAACTGCCCACATACCCTTGTGGTAAGTTAAGCTAGTTTCAGGATCCTAAGTCACCAAGGTAGCAGAGAAGAAGCTCAGATGATATTGCTTTCCTTATGGCCACTTAGCACAAAACCCTAAGCCCTAAACCCTATAGACTCGCTCCGAAGTCAAACGGAAATCGGCCCTGAAACACAGTAAAGTCCCGCATTTCCTGAAGCTCCGAATGACCAGAACCTAGACGAGTCTCCTTTCGAGGAGCCCAGTCCCTAATTTCCCAGGTACCTACGAAAAGGCTGCTAGAGCCCCTAGGGCCCTACATAGGTATCTCTAAATTAGGGTTTCTTTTTAGGTCCCCAATAAAGTACGGCACCCTTATAAAAAGGCCCCTAAAAGGGACCTTAATTTGGAGAACTACCCATAGTAGGTACCTGGGAGGTTAGGGAGCAGCTGTCAGGAGGCTCCCGCAGCTGCGGTGGAGCCGGCAGCTCCCGCTGCAGCGGCGCCGGCCATGACCTGGAAGCCGAAGGCCAGGTGTGGTTTGGAGTTTTATCAGGGTTCTGTGGGAATTTTAGAAGGGTTTAGGGTTTAGGTTTTAGGGCTTAGGGTTTAGGGTTCTGTGGGAATTTACAGGTGTTCATGGGGTTTTGGAGGTCCTAATTACAAGGGTTCTGCCGGAGTTTGGATTTAGGCATTGGGCAGTCTCGTTGGGTTTTGGGAGTGTTTAAGACTTCGGGGTCCAGATTCAAGGCTACTGTACAGTTCAGCCATGAACCGATGAACGTGGACCCAAAGCTTAAGCCCAAAGCATCGACTAAGGTCGCTAAGCCTGCCTTGGTGATGCTCCTCGGCTGCAGCTCTCTTCATCTGGTTTTTGTTAAGGAATTTAACTTAGGGATCTATAGTAGATAATATGGCTTCCTTATAATAGTAATAGTATCTTAACTTAACTCCCTTAACAAGGACCCAGCCATGAGGGATAAGCATCCCACAATCGGCCACCGAGCACAACAGCTTCTTCAAATTAAAAGTTTGTCTACGTGGTTCGGATAGGTGCAAGCCGCAAGGCTTGTCGATGAACCGCAAACGAGAAGCTCAGATGAACCGTTCCAGCAATGCAGGTGGCTTCTGGGTTAGTTTTTACTAGAACTTTGATTAGTAGAGGACCCTGAGAGATCGTCTTACTATGTATTCCGAGCCCAGTATTACTCTCGACCGGCTTTCTTGATGTTTTTGTCTTACAGCTTTCCACGCAGATGACCAACATCTGGAGCCCCTAAACCCTGAACCCCAAACCCTAAACCCCAAACCCCAAACCCTAAACCCTACACCCCAAACCCTAAACCCTAAAGCGCTAAAGCTCCTCTTCAAGGTCTAGGTACCTATATTATTTTGAGGGCTCCTTATTATAATGATACAGTAAAGGGCCCCAAAACCCTATTCTAATTATTAAAGCCCCTAAATTAAGTAGGTTTCCAAAGTTCAGGCCTTGCCCTGACAACGAAAGCAGGACTCGTCTGACCCCGAAAACGGAAGCCTACACGGGTAGTTGCTCGTAGAGGGCTCATAGACCCTAAACCCTAAACCCTAAACTTTACGCTAAAACCTAAACCCTAAACCCCAAACCTCAAAACCCCAAAACCCTAAACCCTAAACCCTAAACTTTACCCTAAAACCTAAACCCTAAACCCCAAAACCCCAAAACCCCTAAACCCTAAACCCTAAACCCTAAATCCCTACATAAACCCCTAAACCCCTAAACCCCTAAACCCCTAAACCCCTAAACCCCTAAACCCTAAACCCTAAACCCGATCTGAAATTCAACATCGGGGCGGAGGCTGATGGGCCTCCCCGGTTGCGGCAAGCACCTTGTCAAAACGGGTAGCAGTCATGTTCAAGGTGGGGGGTTTCAGGGCAGGGTTTAGGGTTTAGGGTTCTGGGTTTAGGGTTTAGGGTGTTAGGGTTTTGGGGTTGCAGGTTCTGCAGATTTGCGTCTTGCTGGAGATTCGACTGTACGGACGGGAATCCTTGTGTTTAACACTGAGGCTCCCTAAAGCCTAAACCCCAAATCCTAAACCCGAGCATCCCTAAACCAGGGCCGGATGCGCGATGACTCCAGGGCCCGATTCCCTTGACGGTGGACGTAGGTTGCAAGGTCTAGTGTAAACGTTAAGGACTTTATGTTAAGTTGCCATGATAGGGATCTGTAGTAAATAATATGGTTTTCTTGTTATGGCAAACTTAAATGGGTTCTTGTTAAGGACTTTATGTTAAGTTACCATAATAGGGATCTATGGTAAAATTTGGTTTTCTTGTTATGGCAAACTTAAATTTGATCCCTTCACAGGAACCCAGTAAACGTTCAGGTCGCTCAGGGGTTAGGGTTGCAGGTTCTTAGAAGGTCAACGCTAGGCCACGGACGCCGGTACCCCGCCAGCCCTAGAGTAATGTAGGGGCCTTAATAATTAGAATGGGGGGTTTGGGCTTCTTTATACTATTACTATAATAAGGACCCCCCCTCAAAAAATAGTGGGGGTTTGGGCTTCTTTATACTATTACTATAATAAGGACCCCCCTCAAAAAATAGTGTAGGTAATTGTTTAGGCTTCTATATTACCTCTTGCCTGGGATTTCGTCCCTCGCCGTCCAAGACAGGTGGGTTTAGGGTTTATAGGGTTCAGGGGTTTAATTCGGGAGGTGCATTAAACCCTAAACCCTAAACCCTAAACCCTAAACCCTAAACCCTAAAGCTGAAACTTCGAACTTCCGACATGTGGGTTCTTGGAGTTGATGCCGGGACTAGCGCTCGGAGTTGAGAGTGGGGTTTTAGGGTTTTAGGGTTTTAGGGTTTTAGGGTTTTGGGTTTAGGGTTTAGGGTTTAGGGTTTAGGGTACAGTCATCAAACTACCCATCGGCCCCAAAGTAGTTCCTTTTTGGGGGTTCATATATAGAATCCTATAAGGTAACCCCCAAAAAGAACTACTTTAGGGCCTATGGGTTGCAGGAACAAAGTGTACACCTTGTCGGCACCCTAGCCCGTAAAGCCCAAACTCACGATCAACCCTAAAGCCTAATTACCTGTCGAACGATTCTCGGTACGGTTCGCCCGCAAGAGGCCAAAGCCGGGCGAAAGCGCGATGGAACCTCTAAACAGAAAATATGTCAATAGACCCAACTCCTTATTCCGCTAGGGTCTGTATACTAGCACCTCGTAGAGCCTTGTCTCCGTTTGCAGCCGTACCCCTAGACCAAAGACCCTAAGTCAGGCTAAGCCCTAAAGCCCCTCCGCCAAGTAAGGAGCACCTTCGCCGATCAGCTTGTGAAGTCGGGCGGTGGCTTCTTCGACGAAGCGGTGCAGGGTTCAGGATTCTGGGCCCTGAACCCTAAACCCTAAACCCTAAACCCTAAACCCTAAACCCTAAACGAAACCTCAAGCCCCAGAACCGATCCCTCTTTAACGTTCACATGGCCCTTCGGAAACGCAACTTTCTGTTTAGGTTTGCATAAGGTGTAGGGGCACTGTAGCGGCTCTGGTGTACGTATCTGACATGAGCGGAATTAAAAGAGAGGGCAGATCTGTCCTTATTTTGAGGTTTGGATTGTCCGGTGTATGTGGGTTGAAGGGTTGAGAGAACCCTACACCCTAAACCCTAAAAGGAAGTTATGGGGATCCTAAGATCGGAAGCGGATGCGCACAGAGCGGCCATAAACGTTCAGGGTTTAGGGCTTAGGGAGTTTTCGGGAGCCTCAGCCTCCAAAAGCCGAGGGGTAAGCCCAACACCCCCTAAATTCACCCTTGACTCTTAGATAATGTAGGAACCTGATTAAGATTAAGAAACCCTGGCCCTATAACCCCAATATACTAGAGTCCATAGTAAGAACCCTAATAAAGGCCTAAGGGTGTCTTAATCAGGTTCCTATATTAATCCCGACGCCCTAAACCCTAAGCCCTAAATCCCTAAACCCTAAAGCCTACACCCTAAACCCTAAAAATCTAACCCCGACCCCCTGATCACAGAGCCCTAGAGAAGCCCTACGGAATCCTGAAGCTCGAAAGCAGCGAAGGCCGTACTATAGGGGCCTTAATCATTAGAATAGAGTTTTGGGCTCGTTTATGGTATAATTATAGTCAGGAACACCCAAAACCCTGTTCTGATTATGAAGGCCCCTACATTACCCTATGAAGGTCCCTGGCCCTAGACCCGAGACAACACCCCTGTACCACCCGTATGTGTAGGAACACACGGTTCAGGGTTCAGGGTTTAGTGCCGTTTAGGGTTTAGGGGAGCCATAACCCTAAACCCCTAAACCCCTAAACCCCTAAACCCTAAACCCTAAACCCTAAACCGACCATTATCGCAAGCGATTGAGGCTGGCACCGCATCTGCCAAGACGAGCTCTCTGGCCGGGACGAGTTCGAGAGAAGTATCGGTCCCATCGCGAAGGACAGGTTTCTGCAGTTGGTTCAGGGTTTAGGGTTTTCGGGTTTAGGGTTCTAGGGTTCTAGGGTTCTAGGGTTCTAGGGTTCTAGGGTTCTAGGGTTCTAGGGCTCTAGGGCTCTAGGGTTCTAGGGTTAGGGTTTAGGGGTTTAGGGGTTTAGGGGTTTAGGGGTTTAGGAATTAGGGTTTAGGGCATATGGTTTAGGGTTTGGGGTTTAGGGTTTGGGGTTTTTGTTGGAATCTGGCGATTTCTTCGTTGGAATCTGGCGAATTCGCCAACGAAGAAATCGCAATGTTCCGACGAAGGGCACGGATGCATTGGAATGTGGCGATTTCCAAACCGCAACGAAATCCTAAACCCTAAACCCCTAAACCCCTAAACCCCTAAACCCTAAACCCTAAACCGCCATATTCCAACGACTGCCCGGCCTTCGTTGGAAAATGTCGACTTCGGGGGTTTCGCCAGCAACGGCCATTTCCAGGGCTGCATTGTGGGGTTTAGGGTTTAGGGTCTATTCTGTACCATAGGGGTTAAGGGCTACTCTGGGGCTGTATCATAGGGTTTCAGGCGTGTTCCGGATCATAGGGTCCGGATCATAGGGTTTAAGGGCTGTTCTCTTGGCATTCTCCTGGTTGGCTCTGAGGACTTTAACTTTTCGGTTTCTGCATGAGCTATAGTAAGGAGACTAAAAGTTTAAGTTTTTTGGAGGGGTTCAGAAGTCAGCCAAGTTCTGGGCTGTATCATAGGATTTAAGGGCTACTCTGGCTTGGGGCGTCGGGTTTAGAGTTTAAGGCTTAGGCTTGGGGCTTAGCTACTTAGTTTGGGCTTTGGGGTTTAAGGTTCAAGGCCTAAGGATTTGGGGCTCAGGGTTTAGGACCAGGGTTTCGGGGTTCAACGTTTAGGGTGTAGGATCTCAGCCTTAAGGTCAATAAAAGTATAATGGTTACCTAGTCATATGGGTGGTTGTCAAAATTATGGTCCCTTTTGGGGTCCTTTTTATATTAAGGGTACCCCAAAAGGGGCCATAATTTTGACAACTACCCATATGGGAATCATGGGTGGGTGGGATGATTTCCGGAGCTGAGCTCGACTAGAAATTGTTCGACCTGGAGCTGCTGAACCCTAAACGCTGAAGCCTTGAACCCTAAATCCTAAAGCCTTAAACCCTAAACCCTGAAGCCTTAAACCCTAAACCCTAAAGCCTTAAACCCTAAACCTTAAAGCCTTAAACCCTAAATCCTAAAGCCTTAAACCCTAAACCCTAAACCCTGAAGCCTTGAACCCTAAATCCTAAAGCCTTCAACCCTAAACCCTGAAGCCTTAAACCCTAAACCCTAAAACCCTAAAACCCTAAACCCTAAACCCTAAACCCTGCAAGTGCTCTAGCACTTGCACGGCTCAACGAGTGCTCAAAAGGATGTGAGCTCCGCC